TTCATCACAGCTTGAAAGAGCATCACAAAATTAGTAATATTCCAAAGTTTCGTTGCGAAATCTTGTAAAATGCGGATAATATAGCCTTGCGAAGTTTGCCGTTTTTCAGTCATTTTGTATCATCCGATTCGGGTGTTGGGGCTGCAATTTCCCGTTTGTAATGCAAAATGACTGAACATTGCAAACTTCGCAAGGCTCTATTTTCCTCATTTTACAACATTTCGCAACGAAACTTTGGAATATTACTAATTTTGTGATGCTCTTTCAAGCTGTGATGAAATATTTGTCTAGACTTGCCTAGATCAAAATTTTGGTTATAAGGGGAAAGGTCTATTGATGAAAGAGCTTCAAGCAAGGTGAGGTGGTTATACCCGCAGGCAAGGTGATTATACCCTTGTAATGTGGTCGGGAAAACGTAATTGTTGGACAGGGGATTAAGCTCGAGAAATCATAATTTTTATCACATATATTATTTACTGAACATGCAACCCTGCACCTTGGCAATTTCGAAATATAAAAGATGATCTTCCTTGGTCACAACTTGTGTACGTTCTATCCACAGTTCTTCTTCATCCAATTTTCGTATTTCTTCCCAAGAACCCGGGAGGTTTTCTGAGGGAGGAGGTTGTCGTATTGGAGTGCTGAGAAACAGACCGACCTGAAATACGTTGAAGTTTGTTAATCGGGAACTTTAGATTTGATTATTCAAAAATTGAGTGCATTATTCAATCTTTTTGCAACAGTCATGTCATATGTAATACAGTAATAGCCACAAAAAGTAATCAATCATGAACAGATAAGCCAAACATGTGGGTGTGAGAATATACTGAAAAAAACAAACCTGGATTATAATAATTATATATCTGGAGGTCAAGGATGGAATACTTGTCACATTCGGCGATGGAATATTTGTCGCAAAAAGTGATGTTTTGGGGGGTAAAGTTTCAAACATGAATGTGCATGTATTTACTAGTTAAACTAAAAATACTTGAGGAATTATCACATAAAAACCAGGCCATTGAGGCAAGAACGCAATAAACAGTAAAGTCTAATGAATGTATATTTTTGCAAATATAAAATCTGTGAAAGTTGCTTTGGTGGCATGGCGGTGCCGGTGAGATAGCAAAGAAGCAACACCCATGAGGACACATGTTTTGTACGTGAGAAATTTTGGAGAAATTTTTACCAAGAAAACGCAACACTGCAACAGTGCATTTGGTTAAAAAATACCATAAATTGATTACGTTGCATAACAATTGTCTATCCTAAATATATATAGCAAGAAAACACAACAGTGCAGTTGATTAAAAATACCAGAAATTGATTACGTTGCATAACAATTGTCTATCCTAAATATATATAACAAGAAAACACAACAGTGCAGTTGATTAAAAATACCATAAATTGATTACGTTGCATAACAATTGTCTATCCTAAATATATATAGCAAGAAAACACAACAGTGCATTTGATTAAAAATACCACAAATTGATTACGTTGCATAACAATTGTCTATATGTTCTGGCACTCCCCTAAATATATATATCTACCAGTAGGAGGTACTTGGGATTTATGTAGATATACTGTACAGAAGACTACACGAATCTATTCGCAATGCATGTGAGAATATAGTAAACCAATCTAAAAATTATGAATTTGAAGAACTATATATATTGTTTCATGTACAATAACAATATATATATATTATATACCATATTGATTTCATGTTTAGTGCTCTATTTGCCCATGAACAAAATCGAGAGTTGATTACTGCAGGTCGACAAAAGGCAACATGCATGCAGTGATCAACTGACGAGCGATAAATATATATGCATAAGATTTTTCATTTACTTTGTGTATAATTATAAACGCACTGCCAGATAGCATTATTACCAGTAAATAAAAAAGCATTACATGGAAAGGGAAAAATTAGCTTCCGTTGTAGAACAATCCCTTTTTTATTTCATGTTTCTGCTTTCTTTGCATGCGTGTGTCATGTGTGGTGGCAGCGGTGGGATAGAAAAGAACATGGGAGACCTCACAATGATACAAGGAAAACATTAAAATATAGAAACTGTAGACGTTCATGCAGATCTGACAATGTGTACGGATGGGAGAGATATTTTACCCAGAAAACATGACTGTGCATTTGTTTGAAATACGGTAAATCGATTACGTTGCAAAACAATTGTCTATGTCTATGTCTAGGCATTCTCTAAGAATTCCAGTGCATGCATCGGTGCACTGGAATTTTACATCTGCCTATCAGAACCTAGATACATGCAAGTTTACAGCAGACTAATATAAAGTATGGTAAAAGATGTAAGAATTTTGAACTGAAGGACTATCGTTTCATATATATTCTAGATAGTTACAGTCTAATTTTCGTGTGATGTTACATCACCCCATGGAGAGAATCGAAAGTCGATTAGGTCAACAAAAATAAGGCTAGCGGAACAATGAAAGTAATTAATTATTTACTGAAAAATTCCTAAATCACCAAACTGTTCGGGAAAATCCCTATATAATATATGTAGTATAAATATATATAATAGGTATTCAACGTAACCATAGCTGGGTCACTTACTGCATGCCAAATAACAAGGACATCAGGAAGTTTGAAATCTTATAATCTTCAGTCAGGATAATCAAGAAATTATGTTTGCCGTGAAACTATGTATGTTAGCATCAGTAACGTGTCTTTTCCTCGTAGTACACGTGTCTGGAACAACTGCAAAGTCAAAGTCCATGAATGAAACAAAATACTTGCTGATTCCACAGAGCAGCAACAGAACTAAAAATGAGACGAACCGAAAAGAAACCACGGCTTGTAGGGCTTGGCTAAGAAAGGAAGACAAAGCAAAGTTTCTATCCCTTACGGAACATAGCCTAGTAAATATCATAGACATGCGTTTCGTATATGAAAATAATGAAACCACATACACCAAGTCTGTAATATGGGTGAACAGTGTTGGGCGAGAAATCTTATTACTACTTGACATGGATCGGTTATTCATTACCTCAACTTTGAACGCTGGTCGGCGAAGTATAGAAACTCATGTAATGACACAACCAAAAGGATGTATTTGGATAAATGCAACCACCAAATATTTTGTCGAAATGGGAATAGCGACTCATTATAGTAAACTGATAAAACCGGAAGAAGAAATTTGTTTCAGTATGTTTCCAACCAAAAGAAAACCAAGGTGGTGTTGCAACATAAAAAAAATTGAAAAAAAAAAATGTTATCTGAGCATTGGTTCACAGTCGGTTGCAAATCTAATGAACCTGAAATTGATCACAATTTATTTATTTCTTTCTTTATTGACCTTAAATGCCTGGTACATTTATGTCTTATTTCTTCAGCAATTTCCATATGGTGGTAAATACTATAAGCTTTCGGGGAGCCCAATATCTTTGACAAGTATATACATCAAAATTGGGAGGGGTGGGAGTTTTGGTTCATCTCTTTTCCGTATATTTTGTTTATTATTTCTCGGTGTACTTTGTTTGTTATCTTTCGTTAGAACGTCTAACAGCATTATAGGTCTCTTCTTTCGAATCTACATAATCTATTCTCCATTATTTTGTCTTCTGCCTATCTTGTCGACCTGTTTGTGTAAATATTTCAAACTCCCTACCAGAAAATCGTATGGGAAATGTACACTCGTAGAATACTATCAATACCTTTTCCATGCAAACAGCATCAAGGGAAACGAGTTCCATAAGGCAGTTCATTTACTTACTTTGCCATTCAACATAAACGTCTGGAAAAACCCCATTCTCGACTTTTGCAGGAATAAGTTATCCCGATGGGGACAAAACTTGACCAATAACATCATCATGAAATATGCATTCTATTTTGTATGCATCTTCATCATCTTTTTCTATATTGTCATTTTGATTGGCTCCACAACCATTATTATGTGCATAAATCTTTGTTATAATGCTGTAATGATCTCAGCCATTTTTCATTGTCTACCAGATCTCCGCGGCCATTTTTCATTGTCCTGCATGGGCATTTTCTATGGAGTCTATGCCATAATGTATTACTCTCTTCTCATTGTGGCTACATTTGCGACACTGTTCTCTGCCAGTTTCATATGGGTTCTAATTCCACATGCAATAATCCCCTTATTTTCTGGATTAATCCTTAATTCCATTTACTATTTCCCCTATGTTACGTTCATTTCAGTCGCAAGTTTCTATACGTGGGCTTCATGGAAGTCTCTTACAGGAGAATATTTTGCTTTAAAAATTTTAACTTATGAAGCATTACAAAACAGACAAAGTAATAATGATGTCAATCTAGACAAGATTAACGACGATCAATATACTGTGTATGTTGTCTCAAAGAAACTCTACGACAAGATCAGAGAAAGACTTCTACCATATAACTTGAAGTTTCTTGTGTTTTTTCTAAAACTTCTGCTCATTTCTGTTTTTGCATATGGTGTGTTTACACTGGTTAAAATGCTACAAGCAGTTGATTCTTCGCGTACTGTTACAGTAATTGCAACACTTACTGCAGGAGCTTTGCCATATATTTTGAACATTGTTATGGAAAAAATGAGCGAAGAAGAAAAAGGCCCAGAATGAAATCATGAAGGGAAATGTGGAACGCTTAGTGAAAACATTTACTTGTGACGATGATCCAGAGCTATCAAAGACAATTTTGATATTACCAGAACCAGAAATTTCCTCTGACACTGACGTAAGTGGACACCTCATGCAGAATGTCAACGAACAACTTAATATTAGCTGAATTATTTACTATTGTCACTGAATTATTTATATTGCTACAAAGCCACAAAAATCAAAATGACAGATCAGAACACTGCAAAACGATTGTAAAGTTAACTTTTTCTGACTACCAGTAATTCCATTTTGGGACTCAGTTAGAATTCTTCTGTTGTATACTTAAAATTCAAAAAGACTGCACAGTGCACATAATGCTAGACAAAAAAGCTTTGGCCGATATTGCTTACTATCATGTTCTATACATTAGCATGGCCATCAGTTAACAAATGCATAAAATAGAAAAACATCAACTAAATCAAGTCAGCAGATTTTAGTCTTGTTAATTTGCCACTTGCGACATACTCGGGGTGCTAAAGGTTTTTAATGATAAACATTGCAGAATAAAATATGCAAATTAAAGGACAAAACCCAGTTCAAACAGTAGAAATGAGCCTATTAATCAATAATGCCAACTCATGATAAGATGATTGTCCAATGATTGCCTGATTCTTAACAATCAAAATTATGAAAATAAAATTCGCTATGTGCAGATTTCAACACTACCATAAAAAACTGTCACATTTCTTTGTTTTTGTTCACTTTCTTCATTCTGTACATGTGCAACTGGTTTTATAACTTTTATTTGCATGCATGATGCACAGAAATCACCTTTGAGAATCACATAATGTCTTTAGCATGACAATATAAAATGACTAAATTGATTGCTTTTCCTAGATATTTGATAAAAAACATGATTATACAGTAAGTGTAAACTTTAGTGCAACCCTGGGCAATTACATTTAAAACACAGTTGATTACATCTTGTGATTGGCCATCAAGTAAATGAAAAGGCTGGCATTAGTGAGAGATTGGCTCATCTCTGTCAGATAGTATTTTGGTGCAGTAACCTCTAGTATCTTTGGATACTTGAGGTAGTTGTAAGGTCAAGCATTGTTTGTAAATAAAGCAAAGATGAAGCATGTACTAATCTATGCACATATAACCTTTATAATGTCACTTTTATTAATAATTAAATTGCATTATCACAAATGGAAAATATATGTGTGAATCAAGGTCTCAGAGAATAAGACTTGGAGCTTATCTATACTAGACATTTAATAAAAACATCAGACATCATCAAAAACAAGTTATCCAGACTGTAAAGTTTGGTATGTACAGGGAACTGTCCTGGACACATTCTCAAGTGTTTTGTCTTTCTGCACAGCAGGTATACCCTGTTTTAAGGCAGAGTATGAACCAATATTAAGGGTGCTTGCATATATCCCAGTGTGGAAAGTTTATATCGCACAATGGAGATATTGGCTGTGCAATTTTGATGCTTTAGACTATATAATATTTACTATTACATGTAAATATTTGGCACGCAATTTTCAAACTTTCCAGTCAGGCATACATATCCAGTACAGTAACCTGTAACCAAAATCCAGTGTGGAAAGTTGGTATAGCACAACCAAGATACGAGATATCAGGCATGCACTTTTGATGCTTTCTATATATTTACTATTACAGTTTTTGAAATCTTGGTTGCACAATTTCGACACTTTCCAGTCAGGGCCAAAATATTAATATGTGCTTTATATATTTGTACAGCACTGAGCACCACAGCTATTAAACTAGAAAATATAACAACATCAAAAACAGCAGACACTAAAACCTCCCAAAGGGCAAAGGCAAAACTCTTATCATAGAAAGCTAAATTCTCACCATGTAACTTATCAAACTCCCATAAAATTTGACCAGCGCAGCACCCATATTATAGCTTGGCTGTTTCCCCCGGATATGAGATCAAAACATGAAATCGACAAGCTGTTTTGAGTCCAGCAAATTTCGACAAAAACTTTCAATATCAAAAGCCAAACAAATCATCAACCATGTATAGCATTCCTTACCTTAGACGTTTTATGTGCTCTCGGAGAATGCAGACAGTTGTCCTGGCACACGAGATTTCGCTCAGACAAAGGCGAATATATCAACTTTTCTGTCCTGTTTTCTTGAAGTAGACTACCACTTGACAAAATTGGCGAGCAGTTGACCGCTTCAAACAAATTTTCCTTGCCAACCGTGTGCAATTCTTCCATGCTAAACAAAAGAATGTGCGTTATTTTACGTGTTTTAAAACCTTTTAAGCGCTAACAACTCATTTCTCATTTAAAAGATAAAAGAATTTTGAATCTTACCACAAAATTCTTCAACCGTCTTTCCTGTAGTAGATCCCAGACCTCCGTCCGCTCGGTGACAATAAAACACGTTTCCCTTTTTTGGAAATTTCTGTCACTGATCTCGTTTCCGTTCTACAGGATTTATCTATTTTTTAATTAAAAAAATGATGAATTTCTATTGAAAACATCGAAAAGTCATTGTAAGAAAAGCATCTTTAAAATTCTATTTTGTAATTTCGCAGTTAAATTCTAGTTAAATTCACTGAGCTATACTTATATATCTGGAGATCGTGCTCTCGACGAAAGTGTGTGGCCAAAAACATGGCGGATTTGACGTCACAATCGACCTATTTTCATGGGGGTTTCCACTGACCCGTGGCTCGAATGTTCGTGGGCGAC